CCCCCTCGAAACCATACAACTTTTGTCTCAAACATTTTTTCATATCTCTTTTAGTTTTTTAAAAAATCGACTGTATAAATTAAAATGGCCCACCCTGTATATATATACACACACACCACACGTGTGTGTGTGTATGTGTGTGCATGCGTGCGTGCATGTGTGTGTGCGCGTATACACAGAGAAGATGGTCCAATTGTTTCGGCCAGACTGTGAGATTGTATAGCAAATTTAATTCTGAATAAAAGTTTCGCATAAACAAGAATCTGGTTCCGTAAGAAGTTAGCATCCAAAATTCTCTAAAATAACATCTTTTAAATAAATAATTATATACACACAGAGGGGGAGAGAGAGACAGAGAGAGATTTATATACACGTTAAAATATATTTGTAAATAAGCACCGTGCTCTTTGTTGGAAACAGTTGTATGTCTAATATTGTATAAGAGCTGCACTGTACAAGAACCATCAATACTTTGGTCACTTACCTGGCACAATAATTAACTTTTATTTTTCTAGCGTATCAAACTTTTGGAGTTTACTACTTCATGAAACTTTAACAGATTTTGTCATCTATTTTTGAATCTAAAATGTATAGCATTTTAACTTGGCAATTATCATGTGATGGCGTGTGTCAACTCACTGAATGTGATCAACTTTTTAATAACAGATATGTCATCGCATGTACGTTTTATTATTTTTAAATTAACTGATGTATACTAATAATGTGCATAAATTTGTAAGTAAGAAAGTGATTTTTTAAGAAGATATATCTTGTGAAAGAAACAGATAATTTTTATATGGTCTCTCATTCCTTGCCATATTATCGATATACAAAGCCCGAGAGTATGTTGCTACTTAACATTTAATTATCGTTTATCTTTTAAAATATATACATGTTATTGCATTATCTTTGCAATAACACTGGCAAATACTGAAAATAGTTGCTTGTGAGTTCCAAAGATGTGTACGATAGTGTTTTAGAAAGTGTGAAACTCATTGCTTTAACTGCCAATATTTATTCGCTTGGAAGCTGCTTCCTGTTGATTTTCTTTTTTCATAAAGATGAAAGATTGATGAACTAGACCAAGTGGTAACTTAATAGGTCTATTTGTTGCGCCTTAATTTATTTTGTTATCCTCTATTAATGTTTTATTTATCACTTGAAGCTAGGCTTCGACACATCGTTTGATCGTTTTTATAATCGTTGAACGAAGAAGAGCAAAAGAATCTATGCTGATACTATCTTTTAGTGAGGTACATTAGAAATCACCGATGCCTCCCCACATGAATTTGTGCTCATATACATACATGGAAAATGTATAAATGTGTTGATATATGCACAAATTCACGTGGTAAGGCATCAGTAATTCCTAGTGTACGTACATTTTGATCTTTTTTTTTGCGAATAAGTTAATTGTAAGATTGTGGAATATGTCTCTCTGGACATGGATATACAGATTGTAATTAAAAACTCCTTAATCATCGGCGAGCAAAGGTTATTCTTTGTATGATACAATGGAGTTATGAAACAAATTATATTTATAATTATTAACAATGAAATATTGAAGTTTTTGTTTAGGCCACACAATTTATATTTTCCTCTCCCTCCCCCTTCTCTCTCTTTTCACCCTCAAGAAGTTCCTAGAAATTAAACGTATTAAATAAAATGCTGAAAGTAACATCAATATGAATTTTGTCTCTACTATAGTAAAACAATGTAGAGGGAGAAATCGACCAATTATTAGGTAAATCAAACTTTCGAGACAGCTAGAAAAACAATAGGAAAATATTCCCAGCTAGCACAAAGGTTAACATAAAAGTTCATAAAGGATAATTAATTTTAAAGAAAGTACCTACAGAATTAGAAAAAGAAATATCTGAAGAATTAGTCACGATCGGTTCAAGAAGTATTTTCTCAGAAGTTTATTATATGTATATGGTGCATGTAATTTGCATTATCGTTATCGTATTCTTCTACGAATTTCTAAAGAATTACAATTCAGGAAAGGCGAAAACTCGAAGAATACTTTGCGAATCCACTGTGCTATCTGGGTTGCAAATGTTGCAATGAATGAAAACAAGATTTGTTCGCTGTGATAACATATTGTTGCAGAGTGATCAAAATTCGATTAATGTACGTTGATCGACGATTAATTCATCAACCGGTAGAATTAACTGAAGCCGAGAGAAATTAGAGCGGCCACGCCGCGGCGTTTTACTTGATTCATGTTCTGTGCACCCTTACGCCCATTTTACTTCTGCAACTGTAATTTCGCTACATACATTTTCAGGCACTGCCGATAAAGGGTGCATTCGAGCAAGACACAAATTGACACAGTGTAATACAGAGAATCATTTCATCCTCGTTTAATAATGGCAAGCAACAAAGATAAAACGATTCACTCTGTTACACAGTGTCGTCTGTGTATGTACGTTGCACCCAAAATCTCCACTTGGTGCGTGTCCATGCTACGCCTAGTTTCAGGATTATGTAAACTTCAAAATTACGTCATTATAAATTATTGTAAGCAACTTTCTCGCGCAATGTAAATTTTATAAATTATATGTCAGAATGCACAGCACAGACACGCACCAGGTGGAGACTTTATCGGTAGTGCCTGAAAATTGGTACAGCGAAATAGTTCCAAAAGTAAAATGAGCAAGGGCGCGCAAAACACAACAAAACAGTCTTGTGAAACGGTGTCAAAACGATGGCGTAGCCCATTCTCAGGTTTTCGATTGTTACGAGTGAGAAGTAGATACAAGTGTACATTCGATACAATTGGCTGTATTGCTTTTCAAAAGAAGCCCAGGTGCCATATAAATAAGACTGGTACACAATGGCGCAAAGTGACACCATCATAGCCAAGGTATGTATATATACAGTTACAGATTAATAGACAGATTGCTAAAGGCCCGGGTGAGGTCGAGAGGGTCAAGAGTCCACTACCAGAGAGAAACCTGAACACCGTTTTGCGCGCCTTTACGCCCATTTTCACTTTTGGAACTACTTTGCTATGCATCTTCTGACACTGCTGATAAAGTCACCAGTGCACGTCTGTGCTATGCATCCCGACATCTAATTTATAAAATTTACATTGTCTACGTGAGAAAAGTTGATAATATCATGCAGATAATTTATGTTAATGTAATTTTGAATTTTACAGCACAATCCTGAAAAATGGGCGTAGCACGGACACGCACAAAGTGGAAATCTTATCAGCAGAGTCAGAAAATGCGTAGTGAAATAGTTCCAAAAGTGAAAATGGGCGTAAAGGCCTATGTCCACGATGCTAGAACTTGATCCAAGTTCTAGCCTCGTGGACACAGGCCTTAAGAGCGCACAAAACAGTCTCCCGAAACGGTATCGAGTAAAACGCCGGCGTGGCCGCTCTCTCAAGAGTCTCAAAGCCTATGTCCACGATG